GTTTACTTACAGAGACAGGTACACTTTTGTATCATCCTTGTGAATTACCAGAGAGCAACCTACTCAGAATCTAGCCTGGAAGAGGCCGTGAAGTGGTTTTTTTGATAGGAGAGATCTCCAGGTTGGCTCAGATGTGTTGACTTTCTGCTCCAAAGTCCTCCTGGCTTTCTATTATCAAAGTGGTTCTCCACCTTTAATCTGCATCACCTGGAGAGCTTGTTAAAACAACCAACTTTCTGATTTGGTAGGTTTGGTTTGGGGCCTGCAAGTTTGCATTTCTAGTAAGTTCCCAGGTGATCACACTTTGAGAATCACTCTCTAACATCAGACTTATCACTTAATACCATAACCTCTGTTTGTGTGTCTAGCTCTCCTTCAGACTAGGAGTTTCTGGAACAGGGACTGTCCTATCTGTCTTCATAGTCCCAAGTTCTAATCCACTAATTTTTTTAAAATAAATTTGCGTTGAAAAAAATAATTTGAAAGAAAAGCATACAATGAGTGATACTTCATTTGTAATCCTAATTAAAAATTTTTTTTAGTTTCTCTTGGAAAGAGGAGGATGTTGGTAGCCATGATCCCAGATTCCTGCATGGTGGCGATGGTCAGCTGATGCTAAGTGGCAGATCACAACTGCCACCATCCTACCTTCCTTACCCCTGTCTGGCCCCCAAGGTATCAGCATTGGCAACCCTAGGTCAAATCATTGAATCTTTCCGATCTCCTTAGGGGCTAGATTTTTAAAACCAAAAAGCCAGGAACAGTCTCTTGATTTCTCTGCCTTCTGCCATCACATTTTTTTCCTGAGGTATTGGTGCAGAGGGACTGGTGGTTTGAATAGAGGGCTGAGCAATCAGAGAAAGGAAATTGCAGAGGGAAACATGGCTGATATCTTGGACTCCTATCCCATCACTTATGTATGAAGCGTTTTGGAAACCAGATGAGAAAATGGGAGGAGAACAGGGGCCATTGGTTAAAGGAGCATAAAGGGAAGGGAAAAGCAGAGGTGTCTGATCTGGGCCCTGAAACATTAGAACCCAGTTTCTTGAGTGTACTCTTTGCCACACATTAGAATCCCACTTTATGTGTATTCTCTGATTTAATAATGAACCCCAGGGGGATACATATGATTATCCCCACTTGACCGGTGAGGAGACTCAGGCTGGTAGTAGGGGCTAAGAAATTTACCAAGCAGCGTTGGAATTTAAATTCTTAATAATCTGATGCCAGAGTCCATGCTTTTAACCACTCTATTATAATACCACACTGAAAGGAGGGGGATGGAAGGCATTTCAAGCCGAGAAAAAAGCCTGAGCAACACCATGAGGGTTTTAGATAACATAATACCACATTCTGGCAATTGAGTGTGGCACTCCCGTCGGGCTGTGAAGGGAAGCATCTATAGGTGACACTACAAAAACCCACTGGGGCTGACTTTTATCGGCCTTTATGCCATGTTACAGTTAGACGTTATGAGAGGCCCAACATGAAGATACTAGAAACAAAAGAAAAAGATTATCCTCTCTTCAAAACCGTCGTGCATTCAGCCTGGGAAAAAACACATACGGTCCTGATTTCTATACCTGAATACATTGGTAATAGGACAAGAGGAGGCCAGAACAATGCTGGACAAAGAAGAAGGGCTCTTCGGTCTGAAAAGGCAAGGGCAGAGGGGGATCCTTGAAGTCTGTTATTTCACAGACAGCAAGGTGAGGGGGAAGGTGAGCAGGAGTCGCTACTGTCATCAGAGACCATTGTGCATTTTGAGTAAGACTGGGGGGTCCAGAAGCCTCGAGCAGCCTGCTGCGCCCACAGGCTTTTTGCTGAAAAGCCTTACTTTGTGTCATGTGACATTCTCAGTCCTGCCAAAAGCCATAGGGATAGGAACTTGCCAGACAGCCATATAAGGAAGCCAAGGTGGCTTGTCATGAGACCCCTATCCAGTGAGGGACAGTGGGAAAGGAGGATGTCCACACTGAGGAGTGGCAAATAGACCCAATCGTATTCTCTCTCCTGGGACGTTTTTAATTAAGATGAAGCAAAAAGGAGGGCAGCAACAGAAAGCAGAGAAGTCAACACCAAGTCAGCATTTGGTAGCAACATGACAATAAGAAATACTTTTCATTGGATGACCTAAAGAAACCAATGTAGCAAGTGGTTCAGAGCACACATGCCAGGGTTCGACTCCTTGGGTTCAGATACACTGACCAGCTCTGTGACCTTGGATGACTTCCTGAGCCTCTCTGGGTCTCATTTTGCACATATGGAAAAAATGACAGGCTACCTCAGAGCATATCTTGCAGTTACGTGAGATCATATATATTAAGCCCTTAACGGTAGTGCTTGTCTTATGGTAAGTGCTTGGTGGCTATTATTACTATATTCTGAAAGAAAAAAAAATTACATTCAAGTTCTTGACCAAGTGTAAGCGCAGCTGCTGGGACAGATTCCTGGGTTTCCTTTTTTTATTTTTCTCCCATAAAGCCTTACACTAAATCCCTAGGTCTATTTCCTTTGAAACCTGAAAGAGACTAACAGAGTAAGCTTAGAAATGAAAAGATAAGGCTTCCCTTCAAAAATAGAGAACAGAAGGACACAAGTTGATTATACAAACATACGCCTTCATAGGGTAGATTAAGTCATGGAGAATAAAGTCACAGTTGATTACTAAAGGAAATCAGAACATGTTGGTTTTGTTACTATCCTTTGAAGTTGACATCAAGGACAATAGCTGCAGCCTTCTATGTACCCTTGAGTTTCTCTGCCAATGACAATCTTGGGCTAAATGAACCATGCTTCTTATGAGATATGACAGTTTTTGCACCTAAGTACTTAATCATCCCATCTCACAATACTAAAACCTCTTGAAGCTTGAAAGAGATTTAGGACTAATAAATTAACAGTTATTATCATGTATTCTGGCTACATGATGCTTTAGAATTTGCAGACAATTTCAAGTACATGATCTCATTCAATTCTCACCATATCTGCAAAATAAGCAGATAGTAGGATAGGCAGATAGGGTAGGAAATCTCCATTTAGGGGGTTCAGGGAGATTAAAACACTGGCTTGAGTTTATAAAGCTATTAAGTAGTAAAGTGAATTCAAACTCGGGCGTTGGGATTCTCAGTCCCATGGTACTTTTACTAAATCAGTGGAAAACGTTGCAACTTATCATCAAAAGTAGAACAGGCTTTTATTTTCAAGAAAGGGGTCTAGTCAGAAGTAAAAATATGTTGCACAAAAGGTGCCACTCACTCCCCATCCCCATGGCATACTTTGCCAGCCAGACGCAGAATTCTCTGCTGCTTATCTTGGGTCTATTAATAGCTTCAAAATCCTTTCAACACAGTGCTCTGGGGAGCTACTCCTAAGAGATCAGAGTAGACACATGATTTTAAATTTATTTTTATGAAAAGAAGGTGCATGCGGTGTGTTCAAGGAAGCCGAATGCTTGCCGATGTTCGTGTCAGCCTCTTCCTCCTGGGCATTTTCCTGCCTCCCTTGCAGTTAGATGAGGTCACAGGGTTAGGTTCTAGAATGGACCTGCGTGGATGTGGGCAGCCTTCTTCTTTCCCTATCTACTGAGTGAATAGAGAAGACGGAAGATGCAGGGGACAGCTGAGTCACAAAATGGGTGAAAGTCAGGCCCTGAATGGCTGAATGGAGTAGCCACCCTCTGCCCACCGTACTAACCTACCCCCTGCTTTGAACCATAATTTGAGACATACGGCTATACTGAGGCCACCATGACTTGGGAGCTATTTGTTCAGCAGTTCATCCGCACACACTCATAAAGGTTGACTTCATGTCCACCTTGAATCATCTTGCGGTGTCATTCCCAGGCAGTGCTGCACTGGGTGGCCTCCTCGCCATTTCCTACATTCAGAATGTACATTACAGTGGAGTTGTTTTTCTCCTCAGCATTCCCTTTGGGAGAAAGCCTTAGGGAATGGGTGAACTTGGTGGGATCCCAGGAGTCCCAGGGTCAGCGACTCCCTCATCCCATCCCTTACAAGTTCAGAGCCTGGGCACTTGACCTAGATTCTTCCAACTGAATGTTGATATCTGGGACTCAATCTTGAGCAAATGAGGCAAAACAGCGAGGATGTTGAGAAATCAATCTCTAAAGCCACACACTGAATCCAGCTTGGCTGGACTCCTGCAGTGTGGCTTTGCCTTGGTTCCTACCCACTTTTCAAGCCCAATTCCCCAGATTAAATAGATTCTGTGATAGGTACTTAACACCTATCCAGTACACTCTCTTTCCTGCTTCCGTTAGCCAGCGTCCGTTTCTACTGCTCATATCATGTGCTCACGTGTAAGTGCATATGCACACAACACAGGAATATTCCAGCACCAAGAGCACGTGCTCTTTGCCAGGGCAGTCTTTCCAAGACATTTGTTCATTGCCTTTCTGTTTCCAAAGAGTCAATGAATTTTTTCTCTCTCAGGACAGAAACCACACATTTTAGCATGACGCCCCAGAACCTTTTTACGTTTGTTTCTCCTCTCATCACATTTACTCTTCTGCCATCCAGTCCCTGGGCCCACCATTTCTCCACACAATTGCATTCACGCAGCACTTGGCCTGTTGTGCCTTTCCCTTTCCTGGCCTCTTGGCATGTTCCTGCCTATCCCTCACGTTCTAGCTCAAGAATGACCACGAAATAGAGTTTGATAATTTTTCCTCTAGCACTATGTTTTACAGCCCTTACTACACTTTACTGTAATTGTTCACAAGTTTATTCTTCTTACTAGGTAATCAACTTCTTGGAGGCAGTATCTGTCTAGTTACCTATCACAACACCTAAGATACTTCTTGGTACATAATAAATGGTCAGTAGGTGTTTGCTGACTGACTGGATGAATGAATAAATGACCTGATGTCTGTAAGACGCTGACAATCAGCAAATGGATCATTCTAGAACAACCCCAATAAAGACTGCTATATTCCAGCCCTGAGCTACCCAAAGGTGGTTTAGGAAACAGACACTAGCCATGCTGAAATAATGTTTAATGTTTAAAATTAAACAGTGCACACAATACATGGTTTAGCAGTAGAAGAATGAAAATGTGTGTATGGTGTTTAATAAAATTGACGTCACAAAACAAGACCATGTTAACAAAACCCTAAAAGTAGAAGTAAACATTTAGATAAAAACCAAATAAACAACATGCTAAGTGATATGATTTTAAAATCCTGATAAATGCAGCTGCCTAAATCCAGATTTGAGACACTGAGATTTACTTTGCCACTTAAAGAAAGAAAAAAAGCAGAATGCCCTTCATTTAAAAAAAAAAGTACATTGTTTTCCTGCTGGCAACTGCAGTATAATCAAGTATATAAGACTACCAGCTGGACTCCAATCTGATAATTAAAAAGTGCACCTGGTCTTCCTGTTCAGTATACAGTTCACCCCAGAAAGCGACAACAACAAAAAAATCACACTACTTTTCTATGTCAGACCCTCCCTGCCACCCATGCCCCAAAGTGAACCCAGTTGAAAAAAGACTTCAATTTAAGAGAAAATGAAAACAAGCCTTCAGCACCTAATGGTTTCTAAGCATGGGCAGCGTGGAAGCACAGGAAGAGGGAAGAAATGGGTTAGCCTAATGTGCCGTTCAGTCAATTTCCACTTATATACAGCTGTTTCAATGGACAGAAAGGCTGATTTCTGTATTGGTCACTGAGAGAGAAAAAAAAAAAACTGACTTCCAAAATTTCCTCAAGTTTTGGCAGATCCCTCCAAAATGTGAAGAGTGGAGATAATCTATTCACACACTCCTTTCCTAGAACTTTGTCAAATAAAGGAGTAGCACCATGATGGTGGAGGTGGTGGTAAGGAAAAGGGGTGAGGAAGAAAAGAGAGAACTCCTTTTGACCTCCTATCCACTCTTCCCTCCCAACCTACTAAGGTCCAATGAGTCCTTACGAAACCATCAAAAATGTGTTTTATGTAAATAAAGCATTTTCTGGACTGAGTTCACCCAAACTGTAGTGCTTCCCTTTATACTTTAAAAGAAGCATGTAATTCCAGGACAGGCAGAATTCTCTAATAGCCAATGACAACTAGTGCCAACTTGGCAAAGTTGGATTTAATGCTCAAGAATGTCAAATGATAACAATACTTAGAAGAGCACCTTGGTCATAGCAGGGTAAGAATATAATCAGCACAGCAAGCATCTGCTGGCAAGTTACATGGTTAAGAAAACCCAAAGTTGAACTATTTCTTTTTTGTGAACGGAGAATAGGGATCTCCTGGGCATCTTGTTTTATTGTTAACTTCCCTTCTTACAAGTAAACCAATTCAAACCATCTGCCTTATGTAAAAATACTGGGATGTCGGAAAAGTCGTGACACATTTTTGCAAAGAAAAACAGAAAAAATACGTCATGACTTTTCTGACAATCCAATGTTAAAATCTTATATAATCCTTACCAATGGCCTGAGAAATGCAAAGACATTCACTAAGAGATTTGTGCAAAAATTGTTTCTCTCAGAGAGCAGGCTAAATTGCAAGAATAAACCAACCTCCAGAATAAACTTTTAGAAGGCATTTGTTTCTATTTTCACTAAATGAACAAGGGAGGTTTTATCTAAAATTTGCATAAAGCTTTAAAAGAGATTTAATAACTTTAAATTCTACACAAATACTGACAATTGGTATTATAAAATGTGAATAGCTACCTCTGTAGAATTTTAGGACTTACTATGTAAGTTTTTGTTACACATTAATAAAATTTCATTGTACATTTCAAATACAATTATGCTTACTTCACATCATGTATCAGAATACCAATCCCCTTCATTATTCTCACAACTCTGAATCCTTTAAGTTGTACCAAAAATTAAAAACCATTCAATTTGATAGTGACAAGTGAGGAAATACAACTCCTTAAGGGTTGAATGATAAGCCAGATATAAATGCTTAAGAAAACATTTATAAGTATTATATAGGTAATAAATTGATTACAAATTGCTTTCTGTTCATGAAAAACATCTCTTCTGAACTTGAAAATGATGCATGAATGGGTCTATGTGATGAGCGTGTCTTCTGCAAAGCTACCATTACTGGGTTACACAGACTCGGGCTAACACTGCACCACGGACAGGACTGACAATGAGCCACATCTGTAATGCCATGGATGGAAACAGGCTCGGTACCCAAGGGCTGGATTTCCAATCTCTTGTCCAAAGTCAGTCAGTTCCTCTTCAGTTAGCAGGAGATGAGGCGTCCGCCTTCCCCGGGGCTTCCTCACCGAAGAGCAGCTTTCGAAGTATATTTGCATAAAATGGTCCATACACTTGTTTGTTGAAATTCACAATGTTTGCATATTGACAGCCTAACCCTTCCAGCTCCTGCTGAATGACAGCAAGGCCTCCAGGCACAGGAGGCATGCATTTTTGAGGGCTTGGAAGACAAAGTAGGCTCTTCAAGTATAGCTGGATTCGTTTATCTGGGGGAAAGTAAGATATTGTTATCTGTCCCATTATTAAAGCATATAATTTTTTTAATGAGAGTAGTAATTACCGTAGGTGGATTGCAATAATACTCCCAATTCTTTACCCTCCCTATATCCATGCCCTTTACAAGGTAGCTTTGCAGCTCTTCCCATCAAAGGCGAAGTCTGTTTCCCCAGGTCTTGAATTGGGCCTGGCCTTAGGACTTGCTTTGACCAATATACAATGCAGCAGAAATGCCAATCTGTTAGTTCCATGCCAAGGCCTCAAGAGACATGGTTCGCATCTGCCCTCTCTACCTACCATGCAAAGAAGCTGAGCCTGATGAAAGCTCACATTGAGGAAAGCCCAGCTCTTCTATCTGAGGCTACTGTAGATCAACCTGTAGCCAACCAACTACCAAACACTCAAGAGAGAGCCCAGCCAGATCAGCAGGGCTACCTGCCCAAGCCACAGCTGACCACAAATGCATGCGTGAGGCCAGCAAGACCAAAAGAATACCCAGTTGCCCCCCAGACTTCTGAGCAATGCTCAGTGTTTGGGTTTTTCTCTTTAAGCTATGGAGTTTGAGGGTGACTTATTTTGCAGTTACAGCTAACTGATAAAAAATGTAGAGCATTTTTGGGGTAGGGCAGGGAATCTTTTACAAAACCTCAATACTTAATGTCCATAACGTACAGTAAAGCTGAGTTTGTAAACTGGCACTGCCGGTTTGGCCCACACAGTGTTTTTTTAAAAAAACAAAACCATTTAAAATTAGAGGATTTCACAAGAAATCCAAATTTCTGGTTCCTCTTGAAAAAAATCTAGAGAGCTGGCAAAAGTGGGGGCCCCTGTTACCACATGGCAAGGGTGACCACACAGCCAGGTTTTCTCAGGACAGTTGAAGTTTACTCCTGTGGTCTTGGCATAATTAAAAAGAGAACTCTCAAAAATGTCCTGGTTTGGACAATAAATGAAACGTTCACCCCACACACAGCCAACCACCTGGAGGCACCAAGGAAAGGCCACCCTCACGGGCACTCCAGCTTGCTAGCTTTACCCTTTCTGCTCCCGTGTATCCCTGTTGGAGACTACTTCACAGAAGCATGCAAATGCATAAATGAATGAGGCTGCAGAAGTACTGGGCAAACAGTACTGACAAACCAGACCTGCTGCTACAGCCCATGCTGTTCCAACAACCTTTGGCCTTGGAAACACACATCTCACAAATAAGGTTTACTAAGGAGAACAAACGCCATCAAATACAGACAACTACAACACTAATGAAACTCTTACCTCCTAACACTTCTCCCAAAAGTCACGTGTTCCAGCCAGATCTGACATAGAACTCTGAGTTCCCAATACCCCATGTCCATGGCTTAGCCAGAACTGTTTCCTCTTACTAGAATACTCTTCCATCTCACCTCATCTCTGCCCCAAGTCAAAAGCGTCCTTCAATGCCAAGGCTAATGTTACCTCCTGCTATGGCTCTCCCTCACATCTGGTACACTATCTCACCATGTTATTGTGAAGTCTCTCCCTTAGGCGGTGAGCTCTCTGAGTGTGAGGGCTATGTCCTTGTTGTCTTTATAGCCCTGGTCTGGCATGTGGCAGGCACATCACAAATGCTGACTGAATTAAAGCGAGAATGGAATGAAAAGGTCTGTAAAGATCAATACCAAACTGAAAGCAATGGGGGTTGGAGAAGGCAGTCAAAGGGAACTTAGGTCTGATCCGTAAGTTTGTCAGCAAGAAGAAATGTTTCATGTATGTAATACCTGTACAATTGAAAATTACTTTTAAAAAATGTAGATGGCAATAAGCATGCAGATAATCTACATAGCAGGTAATCTATAAATAATTTTTACCTGGCTTTAATATGCATTTGAAAAAAATTGGTTTGAAAGGAAACTTTTCTGATTATCTTCTTAGAAGGCTAAGAGCACAGTGGGAGTTGTAACCGCACTGTAAATAAATAGCACATCGACTAAGCACAAAAGAAGACAGACCGTGGGTACTGTGAACACGGAGGAAAACCATGGCTAAGGTTGGTCAAGTCCTTTTTATGTCCTCAAGTGCTTAATTTATTCTAACTCCCCTATGGGCAGAAAATTAAGAATCAATTGTGTACTAAATTTCCCGTTAGACTGGTTGCCTGACTCTCCGGAGCCCAGGTCTATTTTCATCATAAATATGGTCCAAACACTTTCCCACAAAATTGTTTAGAGAATAAAACTCTTTTATAACTGTTATGCTGACGTTCTGTCTCCTCTGTGGACGAGTCAGTTTTTAGGCCAAGACTAAAGTGGCAGAAGCATTTGTCCAGTTAGGAGCAGCCAAACAGAGTCCCTGCCAAAGGCGTGTCCTTGGCTCCCAGAATCCAAGGAGAGCTGTTCAAGTGAGTCATTTGAGTTGCTAGGCAACAATACTTTGAATGAGGTTAAAAAATGCTTTCAACTTGTAAAAGAACAAGAAAGTTGGACTGGAGAGAGTTGGGTGGAAAAAGTTGATTTGCTAGATTTTAAGAGGCCACCTTGGGGTGGGGCATCTCCTGGCCCCCAGCCTCCCTCTCCCTTCTGACTTTGCAAGTCCTTCCCTTATCTAAAGCAAGGGCACAGAGGACACCTGGATGCCCTGGCCACCCTGCCCACAAGCATCAGGGCTCCAGCAGTGCCCGCCAGAGTAGTTAAGAATCTGAGCTCCAGAGTCAGACAGGCTCGGTAAGAATCCCTACTCTGCAACCTGCTGGTTAGATGACGTCAGGGGAGAGTCACTTAATCACTCTAAGTCTCCATGGCATTCACCCCTTGCACAAATATTTATTAAATGTCATCTACTGACCCAGTGTAATGATACAGCAGTGAACAAACATGCACCCCGTCCTCATGAGGCCTGCACACTAGTGGGGGGCTGGCGGTATGTGGCGGAGACTGCAGACAGCCTGCCCCTCTTCACCTGACAATACCATCTTCCAGACATTAGCTGGTCAGCTGGAGACTCCGGGATGTGAGGAAGGTGTGTGTCAGCAAAGAAGGTTGTGCAGCAAAGAGATCAGCCACAGGTGACTGTGGTTAGGCTGTGTCATCACTTGTCCCCTCAGCAGCCTGCAGCACTGCACATCAGACTGCTCTTTTCTGGGGGAGGGGCGAAGCCTTGAGTTCTTAAGTGGCCTGTGTGACCTAGATCTCCAGCATTCTGTGTCCCCAGGGAAAAGGATGAGAGAAACTATTTGAGCACCTCGAATAAATAACAAGTGTTTGTATTCTTTGGGAGTCAATGTTGTGCTTCAAAACCTTGCAGACTAGTCCTAGAACGTTAGTACGCTGTGTTCTAATTTGACACCCTTTTCCTCCTTCCAGTCTTTATCCCACAGCCTCTGCAGTAAACACCGGCTTTGTGCCCCTCCTGCTTCTTCTGGCCACAGCTCCAGATCTTGTCTGGGGGGAACCATCTCTTCCCTACACTCAGATCAGGCATTAGAGGTAAAGCAGACACCCTGGCCCCCGGAACTGAACACGTCTCAGGCCTAAGTTCCTTCTCCTCTGGCCACCATGACTGATTCAAGAATGGGACATAACCAACAGGCCAGCTGGAGCCAATGAGACTCAATTCTGGGGTCATTACTGGAGCTAACAGGGAAGTCAACTCCTTGTTTTTCGCTTGACTTATACACATTTTTAGCTGAAGCTGTCTTTCTAGGGTAGGTAGAGACTATCTGTGAGACAGCCCAGAGGAAGGCAGTGTTGAGGGCTGGAGGTTGGGGACACAGCTCGAGCTCATATGAAACAGTATCTTCAGCCAGCCATACCTCTGGTCATTTCAGCTATATGAGAAAATACATTCCCCTTTTGCTTAAGCTCGTTTAGACGTTTAGATGCTCTGGCACAGGAAACAGAAAAAGTCCTAAATGATACACTGTCCATTTTCCCAACTCACCAACACAACTTGACACCCAGATAGTCACATTCTAGCAATCAAGTACCCAAAAAAAAGCCCACCCATGATGCCTCCCAATTCCACAGCCTTTTCACTCTGTCTCTTTAAGTCTGAGTAAGAAAGGGGCCTCAGCTGGCTTAGGCTAGCTCCCAGCAAAACCAGTATCTACTTTCTGTGAACATCCAGCAGGCTGGTTTGGACTATTATATTGAACTTGGATTTTAACATTACTGGCAGCATTTTATTTTCTCCATAAAAAATTTATTGGCTGGATAGTAAGATAGAAGGCCCACTCCACTATGTATGTACACACAGAAGAAGTAGTGAGTCCAAACCTTTGAAAATATTAATACGCTCTTCATATTTTCTTTTCTTTTTTTCTTTTTTATTTGGGAACAGTGTGTTTTTCTGGGACCCATCAGCTCCAAGTCAAGTAGTTGTTTCAATCTAGTTGTGGAGGGCGCATCTCAGCAGCCCACGCTGGGATTGAACCGGCAACCTTGGCGTTATGAGTGAGCACTGTGCTCTAACCAACTGAGCTAACCGGCCGCCCCACTCTTTTCATATTTTCAATATTTATTCTCCAAAAGAAGCAGGTAACCTGTCTAAGACTACATTTTGACTAACACTTAACATTAGTCATAACCAGCAAGTTAAAGTAAATTGGATTTGAAGCAGAAACCAATGAAAACATGAGGACTCACCAATCAAGGACCGGATAGGATTATCCTCCTCTTCGATGCTTGAAAATTGACCTACAAGGTTAGCTTGAACGTCAGTGTTTAAAGTGGGTAAGCCTCTCTCCATCAGGGTCTTGTTAACCTCAACACAAGTCTGAACACCAATAGAATTCAGAACTTCCTTCAAGTTAAAGGTCCTACAAAACATAAAACAAAATCCCATCAGGGAAAGTTTTTCTTCCTCAATTTTGTTGTTATTGTTGTTGTTTTTTAAAAAATATACCAACTTGTTTTAAATATCTACCATTTTTTTCTTATGCAGACAACAATTACAATTACCTCTATTATAATGAACTTAGAAAATAGTGACTCCTCCCAACTACCAACCCTTATTGGTAGCATATTTTTACATGCTTAAAACCACTCTTTCTGTATGTAGTGTTTATACAGGAAAGCCTAGATAGAAAAATGTGGTCCCTGGAAATAAGCCTGCAATCCCATTTTCATGTAGGTCTATCAGGAAAAGAAAAGACCTATTTCTTAAAATAAACCCTTTGGCCTGAGTGGATTCATTAATAGAATTTTTTTTTTAGCTTGAAAAATGAGGTAGAATCAATTCCTTTATCTATGCCTGAGCAGTAAATCTATAACACGAATCAAAAACATGAAATGAAGACATGCAGAGGTCAATACCATAAAGGCAAATTACCTAAAACTCTTGACCTATCACAACCAAAGATAAGCTCCTTCCCATTGCTACTTTCAAGTGACTGCTCAATAATGCAAATATACAGAGTACAGAAAAATTGTAAGAAGTAATTGGCAGTGGGTTATTAATAGGTAAGGAAAAAGAATTAGAAAATATATTTGTGGGGTCCACACTATTAGGGAATAAAGACTGAAAATTGCATCTCACTCTCCAGGAAGGGTCTTTAAGATAACTCTGTTCAAAATGGGAATTAAAGGCCCAATGAGTGGAGGCAGTATGAAGCAGTGGTTATGGCATAAGCTGTGGTGTCACACAGACCTGGGTTCAAATCCTGACTCTACCACTAAACTTGCTCTGTGACTGTATTAGCTCTTGGCAGATCGTCAGGCACACAGTAAATGCTTAACAAGAAGGAAAAGAAAAAAAACTTTTTCATTATTATCATCATTAACAACAACAAGAAATAAGTCTTTGGTGTTCTGCCTTCACTGGAATTTGTTATAAATTCATGCTGGACCTCCCTTTGGGGTTCTACAACCCAAAGTTTGATTCTTCATGGCAGAATTTTTACCTCCTAACTTTTACCCAACTTCCTTCTAGTTTCCGCCTGCTTTTAATCAGTGAGCTCTTAAGCTAAAGGAAAATAATCATTCCAGCATAAGCCACAACTTGCTATTCACAATCAAGAAGGCAAAATTCTTGCTAGTTTTCAAAATGCATCATCAAGCTCAATATAAATGACATCTGGGTCTACTGTTGGGGATCATCTGCTTTTCTATATTATCAATGTTATTACCCCAACCACAATGAGGATAGTTGAGAACTGATAACAATCATTTCCTAACACAGACTGGGGGCTAGGGGGAGGGAATTAAACAAAACAATAAAACAACCAGATAGGCAGAACAACTATAAAGAGAATGAGTTAGCAACTAAATAATTATTAAAAGCAGCACGCATTGAGTACTTACTATGTGCCAGACACCTGTACGAAGTGTTTCACATGAATCGCCTTGAGTTCTTACAACTCCAAGGTAAGCACAAATATTATTTCCTTTTTGCAAGTGAGGAAGTGAGGCTCAGGGTGATTCAGGAACTTGTTCAAGGGTACGTACCTGACAAGTCAATAGCAGAGCTGGGATTTTAAACCGGGATTTTAAACCTGGATTTAGACCCCAAAGCTTGTCCTCTTAGTAACCACGTTGCTATATGCTTTATATTAATACTTAAGCAACACTGGGGGTTCACCAAAGACTTAAAAAGCTTCTGAAAACTAATGGTTACCCAGTGTGGGGCAACGCTAAGGTAAGACCAATTGCAAATCCAGGGATTTCTTTTCGTTAAAGGTCTCGGGTCCCAAATGCGAAATAAATGAGCCTGGCAGGTTAGCACTGGAATCAGTAGAAAGGGCAGGGCCTTGAGGCAGTCGGACCCAGGCTCAGGCCTTGAAGGTTTGCCCTTTTCTTGCTGTGCAGCCCAAGGTAGATCTTATTCAGTCTCTGAGCTTCAGCTCAAAATGAGAACTTTGGATTCTGTAACTGCTCGGGCTCCTTTCGGCTCTTAATATCCTTCAGGTAGTTTATATGCTCTCTGAGTAATGGGCGGGAGTATAGGAGGATAGGTACATCTCAGTGAGAGGAATAGAGTACAAGTCCCTGAAAACACCAGAAAGGGGAACCAGCAGGGGGCGCTAACCCAATGAGACCCATGGAAACATCTGGACATTGACTAAGATTAGGAATTCTCTGACTTGCACAGAATTCCCAACGAGATGCTCTAAATGCAAAATCTCAACGGGATTCTTATATTCAATGAAGGTATGATCCTGGGAGATGCATTTCACAAAAACTCCACCTTCACAGGACTTGGGGAACCTCTCTAAAGGACAGAGAGGCCACCACTTCTAAAGACTTCATAGCAGGCTGGATCAGTCAAGTCGATAAACATCTCGTTACAAAAAAACGATGGTGCCCGAACAACTTAAAGTGGAAAGCCTCTTTGATAGGGCATTCTAAACAATGAGCTCAGTGGATTTCTGGGGTTTGATTGTTTTTTTCCACAGCACTGTCAAAGAAGAGCTTTTGCACATAATCATCCTCAATGGAAATACTACACTCGCCTTGGCACTTGTCATGGAAAAGACCTCTCCCTTCCTATGAAAGGACATCTAAGCCCTCAGAGATATTAAAAGAAATTCTAGAAAAGAAGGTGTAAGATAAGCTTCTCTAAAGCACAGTCCTGAATATCGCATCCAGATGTCCAAGGTTATTCCTGTTCTCTGAAATGCACACAGACCTGAATGCAAGGGGGAGCAGATGACAACACTTGGAACTTACTCTTTGTGCATGCCTTCAAGTAGAACGGTTGAAATCCTTTTTAACCTGTTTGCAAACTCAGGCAGGCCTTCGGTGACAGAACCCACGATGCTGTTGGTAATTACAGACAGGCAGGCAATGATTTTCAATTGATTAAGCTTTTCTGTCAGTTCCTGAAGACGCGCTCCATCTGTCATCAATGTCTAGCATATTTATTTGAAGTGGGAAAATAGAAAGGGAAGCTTAATACCATGAAAATGGAAAATAAGCCGTGTTACATCCAAACTCCCATTTTTATCTGATTTCAGTAAAGTCATGAAACTATATGCAACAGAGACCAGCTGATTCACAGCTGAAATGTAAGAATTAAAATACTGGTAAACTTCAGAGAGGAAGAAAACAAAAATCACTTACCTCTGGTAATTCTTTTTTCTGATAATCCCACTGCAGCAGTTTCAAATAGCAGTTATTTAGCACCAGTGTGGGCCTGAGGCTTGGCCTGGAGCTGTTTGCAGCCCCAGGAGTTAAAGCAGTCTCAGAAAGAGAAAGTAATTCTTCATTTACAGATTCTTTTATCCATTCTGTAGTTTGATCAAGAGCACCTACAAGGGAAAAGGCCACATATTTTTCCTACAGCTGAAGGATCCTTTCACTTGTACGTTCTACACGACAGATACTATGTTAGGTGCTGGGCATGACTGAAAAGACAGCCATACCCCTCAAGGAGCACACAGTCCAGATAGGGAGACAAACCTGTTAACTAACAATCACAGCAGAATACAATGGATACTATTAATAGAAGGCTCAGTTGGGAGTGGAGAGAGCAGCAGTTGTCCAGGACGCAGTCTAACAGAAAGAGCTCCGTAAGTGACACTTGAAGATACAAGGGAGACGGAGGAAAGGCCTGTCGCCCAGGCCAGGAAAATAGCCCACACAAAGACCTGAAAAAGGGAGAGAATATGGCACATTCTGGACGCTACAATCAAATCTGTATTGCTGGTTCATAAACACCACGGGGAGAGAGTGGTAGCAGATGGCATTGAATGGTAGCCAGGCCAGCTCACACACGACCTTGAGTTGTATGCAGGGAAGGTATTTAGAATAAAGGCATTGATAATTAAACATTTTTAGGTCCCGGTCCCCTTGGAGTGTCGATGAAAGCTATGCCTTTCCCAAAATGCACGTGCAGGCTGGCGTGCACACTTTATGTTACTTTAGACCCACTACTGAGGTTTCCCATTAGAAACAAATTGCTTTTTATACCACATTTCTTATAAAATTATGTATTTGGTAGAATTTATAAGGTGTCAGTTGCTACAAAAAAAAATGCAGACTGAACACAGGTGCAGATTTTTTAAAAGAGCCAGAGGATGAAATATTATTTCAGAGGATGAAATTATTCCTTGGACCCAGCACATCAACAGTGGTAATTTAGGAGCAGCTGTTTGCCACACTAAAGCAACACCAACCCCCAGATTTTCACAATTTTGTTTCTCTTCGGTTGGCAAATGTTGTTCTTGGTTTTTCTAGTTCTGCTTATAAAGATGTAAAAGACTTGCAGTCTTTTCTTTGAAAGATATCCAACAGAGAGAGAGAGTGTGGAAATCATCATGGATATAATTACAATGTGGCGGTAATAAGCATTTATACTGCAAGCCTAATCATTTATGGCTGACACATTTAAAAGCCCATTTAGTTATCTCAAACAAAAGCAACAGTGTAGCATAGTGGTTCTCAACCCTGGCTGATTTTAGAATCACCTGGGGAGCTTTAAAAAGGAAAAATGATCTTGGGCACAGCTCCTGGAGATTCTGATTTAATCAGTCTGGGACAGGGCTCAGGCATCTGTGTTCACACACCCCAGGTGATCCTAGTATGTCGCCAGGATTGAATATGGCTGGTAAAGCAGAAAAAGCATGAGTTTAGAGTGAAACATCAGTTTCTCTAATGGATCTGCTGAGACTTCACTTTCACAAGCCAGTGATTAACTGCTCTATATGACTCCAAAAGCAAGGTCAAGCCCACGAGGTACTTGTACCTTCGGTTTTTCATGTGGACAGTAATAAGAGCTATTCTATTCACTCATTTATTCAGTGGTAACTGAGCACCTACTATACACCAGGTACCGCACCAAATGCTGAGGAATCACCAACAAGTCAATACATCCCATGCTCTCAAGAAGCTCCTAGTCAACTAGGACAGAGACACAACAGGCAATGGCTTTACAGGTGTGCTCACCTAAGAATGTCCCAGAGCGGTGACGAGCCCAAGAGCACTACCCCCGACTTTACTCCCCACCAACATGTGCTCTTGCTTTCCTGCCAAGGAGGGTTGGCTAACTCCTCTGAAATGATCTCTGGTCCTCTAAATCCAAATCCTGCCAGCTGTTCGTGGCCCAGCCCAAATCCTGCTTCTGGGAAGCCTTCCTTGATTGTATGGATCCACACTTGTGTCTCCCTTCTTAGAGCACCCACCTTTGAATTTTTGATCTGGCTGGCATTTCTCTTAAACAGCTGAACTGAAAAACAGCTTCTCTATTTTTTTTTTAACTAAAAGAATTGACAATTGTATTTTCACATTTCACAATACAAATGAAAAGTGCTTTTTTTGTCCCGTTACTCCCTTCCGAAACTATTCTCTTTGATAGGAAGGGGGAGTGAGTCTTCCTTGTCATGCTGTTAGAAAACATCCAGAATCACAGGACCATGATCTCCTGGTGAAACAGAAAGAGGCTGCCCTCTTTCCTTATCTGCCTGTCAAGTCACCCCTGGCAGAGCATGGGACGGGCAGGAGGTCTCATCATGGGGGCCCTGGCATCACTGGCATGTGGCCCCCCCATAGGGGGCCTCATTCCAGGAGCAGGTCGCACAGGTATCATGCCAGGAGGAGGAGGGCCCACCACTGGCAGCATGGGAGAGCCCCCAGTAAGCGGTGCTGGCATCATACCAGGGCGAGGAGGACCCGGGAGACTGGGGGAGGTATCACTGCCCCTGCCGGGGGATGGGCAGAGAACGGAGCAGGAGGTATCTGCCCGTGTGGAAATGCTGCGGTAGTTTTGTCAGTCGGGCTCTGAGCCTGCTCTTCCATCCATTTCTGATAGCAGTCTTTCACACTCTCTTTGTGTTTCCTATCACTGCAGCGTGTCCTTCTCACAGATGGAGAGTCACGGCTGAGGTATGTATCACAGTAGTCACAATAAAGCTTGGGCATGTTACTCCACAGGCTGTTGGCCACTCCGTTTCATGCTGCTGGAAATGACCCACCTTCTCTATGTTTAAAAAAGTGTCATTAAACATTTCATGTGCCTTTGGCTCATTTTCATCTCACTAATAAGATCACTGAGAGTCTAATCTATGATCTTGATTTTTTATTTTTCTTTCCTTTGACGTAGCTCATAGCACAACTTGATAGGTGTGTGAAATGTTTGGCTTTGTCTTGGCAGACCCACTTGCTTTGGAAACTAACCAGATATTTTTCGAGTGGAATTTGTCACATAGTAGGTGCTCAAAAAGCCTCTGCTCTCTATCTGTGTCATGAGAGACCTGGTAGGTTTCCAATTTAATTCACCATCTCTGGATGGCCCGTTTTGAAATGTACATAAACCGCCCTGACTATGGAGCCCAGGAGCTTTCCCTTGGTTTTTCCTAGATTCCTGACACCCTCCTGGTTTCTGGCCTCGCTCAAGGTAGGTATTTTAGCTTTTCTGTGAACTCCCTTAACCTTCCATTCACTTTCTTTTTTGCTAAATCAGGCATCGTTGGTTTCTACTGATTGCAAATAACCAACTGATATAACACAGCACTGAAAAATCCAAAAAAAGTCACCAAAGCAGCAGCTTGGTTTCATCTTGGCTTGGCTGTGGCTTCTAGTCCAAGCTCCACTACTTACTAGGTGTGTGACACTGTCTTTGGGTGGGTCATGGCTGAGCATCAGTTTGCTCCTCTTTAAAATGTTCCATAAATGCATCCTGAATGCCTTGTAGGACAAGCAAAGACAATCATAAGGCAGCGTGATGTATTTCTGAAAAAGATATATGTCCCATGGGATTTTTGAAAGAATCACACGAAATGAAGTTCATGAGAACATTTTATCGATGTAACATACCTAAATAAATAAAACCTTTTTCTTTCTTAGTATCTTAAAAATTACTTGTGGTATGGCACCCCCAGGGGGGTACTCTGTCTTTTTCCATGGGTAATTTAGTTGTTGGAGCTAATGTGGTTACCTTTTTGATGCTTAATACATACATCCAATCATTGCCTGAGGCTTTCTTGGGCATATTTTAAATAGGCAGTCATGTATATAAAATCTCTGTCAGCAAAGTAAAATCTTTTTTGGAGTCAATTCAGAAATCCAGAGTACTTCTCTGTATTAATTTTCCAACAATTCTTTTTTAAAAATCAGGTACACACAAAATTCCAACACTTTTGTCTTTCTGTGCAATACAGTGAGGCTCTTATTTTGATAGTAGGGCACAGTGGCCAACTTTTGGCAGAGTGACTTAGGATATAATTAACAACTGACATACACTCTGCTTCCTGGACTCTTGATTTCTCTGGGAACATATTTAGAGCTGGGCAGTAATGACCTCTACATACAGCTGAATTTATTCTATTCTTAAATCTCTGGAAATATCCAAGTCAATGTGAAAGATGTCAATGAATTACACACCACCAAGCCTGGGTTTTAAGGAAAAAATGAATCATTCGAGATAAATAAAACTGTAATTCAAGCCTGTATTAAGGAATTTGCTCAACATCCCACGCTATCTTGTTCAAAACATGGAGACATTTGTACATGTGTGTATATACACACATATACAGGCACACAAATGAAACCAACCACTCAGTCTCAGGAAAACGCTAAGAACAAAGTCCAGATTCAGGTTCTATGCAGGGTTCTACTCCCCTTAATCCTTCCCTCCCTTTGGAACTAGAGTAATATAGCCCTGAAATCATAGCCCTTCTGTTGTAGAAGGATCCTGAGAAGTCATCTAGTCTCACATGCCACCCGATGACAGGGCTCCCGCTGCCAGCCCCCCAAAGACAATCAATAATCATGTTAGCAGAGAGACACTGCAGCACAGAGGTTGCATGCACATGCTCTGGGGGCAGACGCACATCTAGGTTATCCAGGCTTTCCCACGTACTAGCAGTCACCCAGGGTAAGTGCCTTAACTACAATTTCTTCATTTGGAAACAGAGTGGATGATAACAGGACCAGTCTCACTGGGCTATTGTGACGCTTGAATGGGCTAATAAATTTAGTGCTTGGCACACATGAAGAACTTGACACTTAATCAGTGCTCAAATAAAATGTAGCTAGTGTTGACTACAATGATGAAACAGAGGCCCTTTCCAAAGTTAAAACACCTCACTAATTCAACGAGGCAGTACTTCCTCCCCTCCCATTCCATCTTGACGCCCTCCCAGTGGGCTTTACTGCTCCCATCAAGGTTATTAAGGATCCTCATGCAGTTATATCCAGTGATCAAGCCTTGGCCTTCATCTTTCTTGACCACTTAGCAGCACTTGTCACAGCTGATAATGTCTTCCTCTTCCGAACACATCCTTCACATGGCTTACAGGACACCGCTCTTTCCTGGCTTTCTTTACCTCTCTGGATACTCCATTGCTGGGTCTTTCTCCTCTTCTCAAGCTCCAGATGCTCTGGAGTCCCAGGTCAGGCCCCTTCCGTATCTATATTCACTGCCTAGGTAATCTCAGCCAATGTAACACTGAGGATACTCAGAGCACGAGCCATGGAGCCAGACTGCTTGGGAGAGTCTCAGCTCTATAGCCTACAAGTTGTATTATGGAGGCAAATGATTTAACCTTTCTATGCCTCAGTTTCCTTATCTATAGAATGGGGAGTAATTTCCTAAAGTTGTGATAAGATTAGATTAGTTAATAAGGGTAAAGCACTTGCAATCTTGTCAGCATTTTATACATGTTCCCCACTACCCAGTTCTGTGGCTTTACCTACCATAAACAGACCAATGATTCCCGAATGCATATCCCCATTCTCCAATACTCTAGTCCCTTATATCTAAATGCCTACCTGACCTTTCCATGTTAATGTCAAACAAGATCTCAGAGTTCATACATTGAAAACTGACCTTGACTCCATACCATCTCCCAACCTTCCTTACCCTCGTCTACCCCATCTCACTAACAGCCATCACTGTTCAGCCAGTTGCTCAGGCAAACATCTTAGAGGCGTCCGCAACTTCTCTATCTTCCCTCATCCAACTTTCAGAAAATCTTGTTACTCTACTCTCAAAACACATCCAGAATATCACCCCTTCTTACTACTTCTACCACTACCACCTGAAACAAACCACCATCAGTTCTTGCCTGAGCAACTGCAATGACACCTAACTGGTACCCCTGCTTCCCGCTTTGTTCCGAACAATCTAGTCTCTACCCGAGTGCCAGAGTATTCTTTAAAAATGAATGTGGGATGTTACTCCACTGCTCAAAACTCTCCAATGACTTCCCATCACACTTGGAATAAAAGCTAAATTCCTCGCACTTCCTAACAAGGCCCTAGCTCCCCTGTCTGCCTCTCGGCCTCATCTCCAATCACTCTCTCCTTGACTACTCTATCTACTCCAGCCACACTGTCTGCCTGTGTTTCTCCAACTCCACAAACAAGTTTCTGCGTCAGGGCCTTTGTATTGGCAGCTGCTTCTGGCTGGAATGTTCTTCTCTCACATCTTCACATGCCGCTTCCTCAGTCCTTTGCAAACTGCTCAAATGTTACTTCTTATAGAGGACTGCCCAGTCCACCTCATCTAAAAATCACACTCCACCCTCACTCCTTCCCCATTACTGTCTGTCCCTTTATCCTATTTTTCTTCATAGCATTTAATAACACAGCTGACAATATATGTTTGTTTCTTTGTCTACTAGAATGTTAGCTCCTTGGGGGGGGTCACAACTTTGTTCTGTTTTGTTCACTGACTGCAGTATCCACAGCACATAAGCAGTGTCTAGGACACAGTAGGTGCTCAATAAATATTGTTTTTAATGCATGAAGAAATGAATACTGCTTAGCACAGTTCCTGGGGCATAGTAAATACAATAGCTGTAAGTTTGTGATGTGAATTTTAGAAGTTAAAAAAATATTTAGCAATAAGGCCAAAGTTCTTTAGTGACACCACTTAAGATATCAAAAATAAAATTATCATATTTTCACTCAATTTCAATATAAATACACAATATATTGTACTTACTTGGCGTTTCTTCTAATATTTCCTGGAACTTGTTTCTCTCATAATCCACCAACTGGCGTTGAAGATGTGGTCTAAGACTCTTAATTGTAAAATTGACCATGTCCATTTTCATGAGGTCCAGGACATGAAATATTTGTCTAAAAATGTTACAGTTAAAATAGTTAGAGAGGTGATTAAGAAATTAAGCTGCAATTCATGAATTTTTACCTATTTTCTAGGCTGGAAAAAAATAAATATCCCCAAAATGGTTTTTAAATTCCAGTCACCATTTGGCAAGGAAACTTTTCACAGAAGGCATTTCACATGCCTTCCAAATATATTCTTCTACAGATCTCAAGAGTATTTGCCTTAGCAAATATAATATCTCCAGCTGAGCCATTACATCCAGTCAGGAACTGACAGAAAGACACTAAGAAGTATAAACAAGGATTCTTAACAAAAAAGATGCAAGAAGGAATTTTTATTTGAATGCCCCTAAAATTTTAAGGAGTCGGAACATAGTGTATATGGTTTCTCTTCCTAAGGGAATAAGAAAAAAGAAAAGAAAGGATGGGGTAGTGAGGCACCAGGGAAAATACTTCCTTTTAGAGTTGGGCAGCCCTGCACTGAAATGCAGCTTTGCAACTGACCAGTTCTGTGACCAAGCACAAGTTACTCAATCTCTCTGAGCCTCAGTTCCCTCCCCTGTAAAAGGAGAGGACATGATAAACCTTGGAGGGATGTTGTAAAGAGTCAATGAGATAATGAATGTAAAATGTAGGGGACAGTGGCACCCAGTAGGTGCTCAATAAGTGACCAAGATGAACACCACAGATTTTATATCACAAACAGGTAATAAGACAACTAGAAGCAAGGATTCTGCAATTGATGAATTGCAATCTGCCAGCGGTGAGCACAACTCTAAGGATACATGAAGCCCATTTTACAGATGGGGAAAAGTGTGATTTAGAGAGGTTATCGGCATGCCCAAGGTCATAAAGTAACCTGCTACATGCAGTTTCCTTCCCCTGCCTTTCCAATACTATTTCATAAAACTTAATTTTCAATGTGGCCGTATTCACACACACACAAAAGGAAACGTTCCCCTCAATGGCAGAAAGTGTTGCAGACTCCTCTTTCCTGTGGGATCACAAAGAAGTTATTGTCTGCAGAGCCAGATTAGAGTCTCACGATTTTAGATTTTTTTTTTTTTAATTGGGGAATTGGGGGATGGGAACAGTGCTGGGGAATTGGGGAAGGGGAACAGACAAGTTGCTGTCCTTTTTGTTCTTCAGTCTAGTTGTGGAGGACGTTGCTTCACTGGCCCAAGTTGGCACCATCATTGCGCTCTTCCCGGGCGAGGCAGATCAGTCGCCGGCTTCTGGACGGCCGCTCACTGCGGCTGCTGGCCGCTCACGCTGGCCACTCACACTGGCTGCTGGCTACACACGGTAGCCCATGGCAACTCACTGCCACAGGGGCTGCAGCCTATGCCGTCGCCAGCGACTCACGGCAGCCCAGCTCCAGGTTGAGCTGTTGTTCAGCATCTTAGCTGTGGAGGGCAGTGTCACTGGCCCTCATATGTGGGATCCAAACCGGGGCCCTCTGACGTCCCAAGCCAGTTCTTAACCATCGCGCCACTTGGCCGGCCCAAGTCTCACGATTTTAATGTACACTTCGTTTCCTCAAAGAAGCTATGGCAGAGATGGCTAGCTGACCACCAAAGGTCCAGGTTCCCTTCCACAGGGCAGATTTGTGGCTGGGAAATGCACTTCCAGACAGTAACCACATTTCCTAGGCCCCCTTCCATCTAGGTGTGGGACCATGGGACTAGCAAGCTGTAGTTAGTAGAATGTGCCACTTCCTGGCCAAAGTGGTGAAACTCTGGGTGTGCCTTCCCCATGATCTCTTTCCCATTCACCAGCTGAATTTAAAGGATGCTGAGGACCTGGGGAAGGGTGGAGCCAAGGAGAGAAGGAGCCTGAGTCTCCGAGTGACATGTGGAAGGATGCCTGACCAAGAAGCCTTGACTTGCACTGGGACATCAATGAGACACCACTCATGGGTTACATTACTGAGAATCCTGGGCTATGTGTCTTAGCAGCTAGCATGACCGAATCAATAAGCCTTTCTAGATCCTGACTAGGTCCCCTGTTGGAGGTTCTATTAATCCCTTCCACTTCCCCTTCCTTAGCACTTATCACAATGCTAATGGCTTGTTCAAGGTCTGTGTCCCCTTTAGACTGTAAACTCCCTGAGGTTAGGTATTGTCTCTGTCTTTTTCATCGTTGCATCCCCAATGCTCGGCACATGCCAACTAAACAACCCTATTATATCAGTCTATCTGAAAACTCGACGTACACAGTAAATGGTTGACTTATCCTTGTTTATTTGGTTTTCTTCTAGGGCCAAGGATTCCTTTGAGAGACCAGTTATTATTCTGTGTTCCTTAATCTACACTTCCCATCTAAGTAAACTCAAAGGTGCTCTAAGAAATGGAAGCAGCCAAAAGTACAACTATTGCACTGTGTTGTACAGCTGAAACTAATTCTAAAATATGTGTATTTCAGGGCCGGCCGAGTGGCGCGATGGTTAAGAGCTGGCTTGGGACGCCAGAGGGCCCCGGTTTGGATCCCACATATGAGGGCCAGTGACACTGCCCTCTACAGCTAAGATGCTGAACAACAGCTCAACCTGGAGCTGGGCTGCCGTGAGTCGCCGGCGACGGCGTAGGCTGCGGCCCCTGCTGCAGTGGGCTGCCATAAGCTACCATGTGTAGCTGGCAGCCAGCATGAGCAGCCAGCAGCTGCAGTGAGCGGCCGTCCAGAGGCCGGCGACTGATCTGCCTCGCCTGGGAAGAGTGCAATGATGGTGCCAACTTGGGCCAGTGAAGCAACGTCCTCCACAACTAGACTGAAGAACAAAAGGACAGCAACTTGTCTGCTCCCCTTCCCCCGACTCCCCAATAAAATCTTTAAAAAAAAATGTGTATTTCACAATAAAAAATAATTTAAAAAAAAAAGAAAGAAATGGAAGCAGCCAAAGTGCTAACTAACCTCAGCACCTCTACAATGTTGCCAGTAGCCTTCAACTCTCGGATGTCATCATCTCTCACGGGAGCACACAGCTTTCCCATCGTACTGATGACATAGCTGGCCAGGCCCTGGATGTCCACAGCACTGTGCTCAGCCTGCTGTCTAATGAGCTCTGTGTCCAAAACTTCACAGATCTGGTTGCGAAGCCGGTTGCCACCAGGAGTCAGAAAAGAGAGAAGTATCTACACAGACAAAGGAAAAAAAATTACCAGCATCATTATTTGATAAAGGTTGTCATTTTTTTTTAAAGATTTTATTGGGGAATTGGGGAAGGGGAACAGTGTTGGGGAATTGGGGAAGGGGAACAGCCAAGTTATTGTCCTTCAATCTTAGTTGTGGAGGGCACAGCTAGCTCAGCTCCAAGTCCAGCTGCCTATTGGCAGCTCGCGGCTGCTCAGCTCAAGGTGCCGTGTTCAATTTTAGTTGCGGGTGGGCATAGCCCACCATCCCATGCAGGAGTCAAACCAGCAACCTTGTTGTTAGGAGCATGTGCTCTCACCAGCTGAACAATTCTGCCACCTGTTGGCAGCTCAGAGCAGCTCAGCTTGGGCGCAGCTCACTGGCCCATGTGGGAATCGAACTAGCGACCCTGTTGCTCAGAGCTGGCGCTCTTAACCAACTGAGCCACTCGGCCGGCCAAGGTTGTCATTTTTAATTTCAATGTCTAGATGACCAAGCTCCCTGTTCATATTTTAATACCCTGGATGCCACAGAAGTTTATACCGAGAGCACTCCAGTGTCTCAACCCTGAAAAGGAAGACCTACCTTCTGAATTACAGTCCCCCCCCTACTTCATTGGAAATTATTGATAAAGTCAGAATAAAAGCAACTGACAAGGAAGCAATATTACTGAAAGAACTTCAAAAAGTTTACAGATAAACGGTGCAAAGACAGAGCAAGTTGCAGGTCATGGATCCAAAAGAAACCTTTAAAGAAGAGCAAATGGAATCAGCCCATGGGCTCCATTAGTATAATATATTTTACATATAAAATATTTATTATATGTTACATAAGCAACCTATATTGGGTATTTAGTACATAGCCGACACTGTACTTATACGCATAGCATGTGGTCAGGACCACAGGCTCTGGGCCAGAGGCTTCAGTGCAAACCCCTCTGCACTCCTCAAAGCTGTGTGACCCTGGGCAAGTTAGGGAACATGGTTTCTCTGTAGAAAATAACAGGCATAACAACCTCCCAGCATTATGGTAAGGATAAATGAATAATCTAGCGCTTGGCATAGAGCAAGTCTTATAAATGTTAGCTGAAACTATAACTGTCATCTCATTTAATTCTTACAAGTACCCTGTAAGCACTCAGGAAAATGCAATGTACAGAGGGAGAGGCCATCACCAAACCGGGTCTGTCTGACTCCAGAGTCTGTGCTCTTAACCAGAAGCACCACTCCGTGTGCTAAATGTTTCCCTCTCTTCCCCTCCATTGCCCTATGTCCCAGCCCCCTCCCCACTGCAGGAGGTGCAGAGAAATTCCCTCCCACTGACTGAACCTGCTCAGTTTTTCAAAAGCATCTTTAACACTCTTTGGAGGACATGAACGCGGTCTTTGGGGGGAAACAATCACTAATTAATACAGACAAGGCCAACTCGCCTCTCTGATTTCTTCAAACAGTTTGATGGCGTGTTCATACTCTGGAGGCTCAGCATTCAGTTCTGATTCCAAGACATCCCAGAAGGCCTGGTGGACAATGTGCTTCACTTGCCTGGCCAAGCTATTGGAATGAAATGGATTGTTATTATTATTTTTTTTAAAAAAAAAGCATTATTTTCCCTGTTTATAAAACAAATGTGTTCATGGTAGAAACCTTAGAAAATGCAGAGGAACAGAGAATAAAAATTACCCATAATCCCATTATTTCTTGTTTAATATACTGTCTTAACATAGAGTACCCAGCATGTACAATACTATATACTTGTTTCATTTAATAGTTTCTCCTAAGTGTTTCCCCTAGACATTTAAAATGCTGCCTTCCAATAGCTTTCAGTAAATTCATAAAATTCTGTCTCAGGAGATACCATAATTTACCCAGCTACCCTTCTACACAGATTCTTAGACTTGTTCTAGATTTCAGGGATGAGAAGGCAAAGTTGCTCTTTCCTCAACAGCTGAAATTTTGTGACACAGAACACATTGGCCCCAAGGAGACACGTATTTGAAAGCCTGCCAACTTCAGCTTAGATGTCCCATTTAAACTTAGCCAGACCAAACTGCTGAAATAGGAGCCTTCCTAGGAAGAGCTGACAATAGAATAGGGGCCACCTTGTTTCACCCCTCATGTCAACGCCCTGAAATAGGTGCACACTACAGTACACATCCCTATGGAACTCTGACACCATTTTGCAACAGCTTTGAGAAAGGCACATATTTCCCTGCACTGGAATTACTTACCAGTCTCTATCCCCCACAGGGCGATATACCTTTCCCAGATAGAGGCCACAACTTCTTCTAGGTACCTGCCATTGTACCTAGCACAGACCCTGGCACATGTTGTGTGTTCAATAAATGCATGGTGAGTGAATGAATAATTTGATAGTTAGGCACAGCTCCTAATTTTTCTTTTTAAAGTGCAAATAGCTAAATATACAATAATGCTATGAGAAATGAAAATTAGCTTTCTGAGGAGCGTGTTAAAATTGTTTCTGGGGCCGGCTGAGTGGCATGTTGGTTAAGAGCTGGCTTGGGATGCCAGAGGGCCCCGGTTCGGATCCCACATGTGAGGGCCAGTGACACTGCCCTCTACAGCTAAGATGCTGAACAACAGCTCAACCTGGAGCTGGGCTGCCGTGAGTCGCCGGCGATGGCTTAGGCTGAGTCCCCTGCTGCAGTGGGTTGCCATGGGCTACCGTGTGTAGCCAGCAGCCAGCGTGAGCAGCCAGCAGCCATCATCAGCGGCTGTCTAGAAGCCGGTGACTGATCTGCCTCGCCAGGGAAGAGCACAATGATGGTGCCAACTTGGGCCAGTGAAGCCATGTCCTTCACAGCTAGACTGAAGAACAAAAGGACAGCAACTTGTCTGTTCCCCTTTCCTCAATTCCCCAGTGCTGTTCCCATCCCCCAATTCCCCAATAAAAATCTTAAAAAAAAAATTGTTTCTGTAACTGCAAATAATATATTTGACTCAGTAACTTTAAATGTTAAAACTTATGCAACATAAATGCCATTTCCAATGTTTGAGGCTCTCTTGAACTACAGAACAATTAAATTACAAAGGCCAACACTGCTAGGATGGACTTTTGCTCTTGACTTTACAAGCCTCACGTACTAGGCTTGAATGGACCAACCAGGAATGAGCTAAAACAACTTTATAGCTCCCTCAGGGACATCTGAGTTTAAATTTAAGTTTTCCTAAAAGCTGAAAGATACTTTTCAGGTCTTTAATTTTCTGGGGATGGGATAGGGGGATGAGAGCAATTAAATCATTTATAAGTATTCCTATCAGAAATCTGACTGAATTTACCAAGGTTTTTCCCCAAAGAAAATATTTGGCAAAATAGAAACATCCATATTTTAAAACGTAACAACTTGGCCATGGTGGAGAGTCATCTGAAAAATCAACAGTTCATAACTATTTCGTTTTTAAACAAAGGTAATGTGACCTAACTCGGCATGTTGTCTCCTGTGTTCACATTTTCTAGCCATGGAAGAAAATGAAGGGAAGAGGACTCCTATTTCCCATAATATTAAAGTACTTCAAACGCGCATGCATTTAAAGTGAGTATTGTAGTCCCCATGCCATCCTTGGGGAACATGAGGCTCAGATAGGTCTCAGCAGAGTCAGAATTCAAACCCCAGGGTCTGTCTGATCCTAAAGTACCTTCACTACAGCCTATATTTGCAACTTTTAAATTTAAAGTACAAATACCCCCAATTATCTTTTGTTGTGCTTCATAAAACACACTAATTTTAACTTCAAACAGCCATTTTTCTTAATCAATAAATGGTTATTCAACATTCAATGTGTGGAAGACCCTGTCTTAGGCACTGGGGATATATAGTGAAAAGAAAGTCTCTGCCCTCAGAAAGCTTATGTTAGCAGGGACAGAAAGGCCAAAAAAGAAATCATATTAAAAATGAATATGACAGGCCTGCTGAGTGGCTCAGTTGGTTAAGAGCTTACTCAACAGTACGAGCTCTGAGCAACAGGGTCACCGGTTCGATTCCCACATGGGCCAGTGACCCTGCATCTGAGCTGAGCTGCCAACAGGTGGCAGGATAGCTCAGCTGGTGAGAGCACGTGCTCCTAACAAGGTTGCCGGTTCACTCCCTCATGGGGTAGTGGGCTAAGCCCGCCCACAGCTCAAGACTGAACTCGGCACCTTGAGCTGAGCTGCCACGGGTGGCTCAGGGGATAGAGCATGCACTCTTAACAATGAGGCTGCTGGTTTTACTCCCGCATGGGATGGTGGCTATGCCCACCCGCAACTAACTGAACACAGCACCTTGAGCTGAGCACCGCTATTGGACTTGGAGTTGAGCTTGCTGCGCCCTCCACAACTAAGATTGAAGGACAACAACTTGGCTGTTCCCCTTCCCCAATTCCCCAACACTGTTCTCCTCCCCCAATCCCCCAATAAAATCCTAAAAACAAAACAAAACAAATGAATAAGACAATTTCAGAGCTACGAGGAAGACAGAAATGTGGTAGATAGTGATGAAGAGGGTGACAATTTCACTGAGTGGCTGAAGAAAGCTTCTCTAAGACAGTGACCTTTGAACTGGGACTTGAATGGGTAGAAGAAAGCAGCCAGTGAAAAAGAAGGAAAAGAAGAAGAAAGAAGGACTGAGTCCCTGGGACAGAATCAAGCTGGGGTCCCAGAGTGACGAGCAAGGAAGCCCATGTGGCTGAAGCACAGCAGACGGGAGGGAAAGGAGTAAGGGACGGGCTGGGGAAGAAGGGCCTCGCAGGCCACACTAAAGAGCTTATATTTTTATTCTAAGTGCACTAGAAAACCACTGACGGGTTTTAAGCAAAGAAATGATCTAATCTGATTTACCCTTTAGAAAGATCACTATGGCAACTGTGTGGCTGTGGAGGAACTAAGAATGGAGACAGAGCAACGAGTTAGGGCTGAAAGAGTCCAGGTCAGAGGGGATGGTGGCCTGGACTGGGGCCTGAACTAGCAGTAGAGCTGGTATAAAGGATTATGATGAAGTGAGTCATCGCAGAAAACCAACCGGATACGCCTACTTTGGCCAGTAATCTCAGAAAATATTAAGAATTATTATGAACAACATTCCCAGGAGCAGGAGGACTATGATCCACATTTAAATTTAAAAAATTTTTAGGTTTGCTATTTTCCTGCCTTAAAACAAGCGAAAAAGTTCTGATGGAATCTAATATTATATGTTGTCTTAACTGACAGAGAGAGAATGCCTCTGGATTTATAAATGGCACCGTGAGGCTGAAGACTCAGTGCCATCAGCCAGAAGCTAACTTTGCCTCTAAAGATGATTTATCTGGAGTAGTGACCACAGCCTTTCCCCCTCTTTGTCCCAGCCACTGAGGCAGAGAGGGGGAGTAGGATAAGAGTGGGGCTATAACCAGAGGGTGAGGTTAAGCAGCGGTGCCTGTGCAGCTGTAATGCCTCCCTCCAGAGGCTTCCAGATCACCTATTCTTAGCACTTTGGCAACTCAGCTGCATTTGTTTATCTTTCACAATCTAAATAATATCAGTATTTAGTAAGTCAATCTGCAAATATTTCTTGAACATGTATTTATTATATGTCAGCTACTCTGCTAGGCAATAAGGGTGGAGCAAACAACATAGTCGTAGTTCCTCCATTAATGGTGCTTTTGGTCAAGTGGGAAAGAGAGACATTGGACATAAATGTATACGACATCTTAACAAAGGGGCGGTAGAGGGGGCTACAGGAGTCTTTAGCAAGGTGTAATGTAGTCTAGTGTGCTTAGGAATGCCAGGAAAAGCTTTCCTCAGGACATGGCATGTAAACTGAGTTCTAAGGATTATGGGTAATGTGCACCCTAGAGGAATGGTTTGAAAAACATGTATAAGACCTTGTTAGAGAACCAAATCATGGTTACTCCCAGTGGCTATTATACGAGAACTTCCAGGAATCACACACACACACACAATCTGCAGCACAGTTTATGCACCACAAACACTTCTAGGTCACCTGTTCTCAGGGAAGGCATCTTGTTTCAATAGAAAGTTCTCATTTACAGCAATTTCGTGGGCAAGAGTCATGTCTGCGAAGTTCCTTGCTGTAGCCATCACTTCGTCAAATGTCACAACCCTGGGAGGGCTTGTTGCTGAAAGAAAAACAAAAGCCAGTTAATGTGGAAGAGAAGCTGTCATCCAATGAAGCTTCCTCATGCAGAAAGACTGTAAGTTATTCCAATATTTATTTTCAGGGTTTTACAAGTAAGAATATATACTAAAATAGGTGGGTTACCCTGCTTAACAGTGAAGACTTCAAACATTTAGAAACTTCTTTGATAGTGTCAGTTACTGTGTTGATAAAAATTTTTTACATGTTTTTGAGATAATTTTATATTAATAGACTACTATAAGTCAATCTTTTTTATTTATTTATTTATTTATTTTTAAAGCTGAGCCATCCTGCCACCTGTTGGCAGCTCAGCGGCAGCTCAGCTTGGGCCGGGAATCGAACCACTGTTGCTCAGAGCTCAAACTCTTGAGTGAGCTCTTAACCAACTGAGCCACTTGGCCAGCCCTTATAAGTCAATCTTTCAATTACCATATTTTGCTGTGTATAATGCACACCAACGTTTTTGGCCCAAACTTTCAGAAAAAGATTTCTTTTGTTTTAATTTGTTAACTCAAATTTTTATTAGTTTACATTTATGTTTGGTTTTTTTGTATTATAAAGGAATTTTAGCAATTAATTTTTAACATATTATGGTACAAGAAATTTTTAACATATTATGGTACAAGAAATTTTATGTACCGGTAACAAATTTATGATACTTACACATCATAGAAGACCAAGAACCCTTTCTGGTTGCAAGTTCATCATAAGTTCAACAAAATTGATTATTATATTCAATTTTGCATATGGATATCCTTATTGATTTCTTGAGTTACACTTTTAACTTATAAGCATAAATAAAAGGATTAAAAACATTTATATAGATACAAAATTAGTACTGCCCATGTACAATGCACATCCTTATTTTTCCCTCACAAATTTGGGCAAAATAGTGCGCATTATACACAGCAAAATATGGTAAATCACCTCAATTTTTTAGTGCCTATATTATATTTGCATTTATTAACATGTCATATACAGGAAAATCGATGACTTTTTCTGTAATTTATAACTTATTAATTTAAGCAGACTTCATATAAAATAACTGACTTTAAAACTATGATTTCTAAAGGTATAGGCAGTATTGCATAATGCTTAGGTTTAGTTCCAAGTTTGCAAGTTTTCATTTTTTGCTAGTTATCATTTAACTTTACTGAGGCATAACTGACCTCCATTAGGACTGTCCTGAGGTGGTTAAATAAGATAATTTAGATAAAAAAGCACATAGCAAGAACTCAATAAATATGGATAATTAAAATAAGTGGCATAATCTACTCAGTAGGCAATAGTAAATAAAAATTATTCTACTTATTTCTAAAGATTATTCTAAAAAAGTATTCTAATAAATCCTGTCCTTTAGAAATCACTGTTGGAACTCTTAGCTTAATTAAAAATCATTACCTCAAACAACAGTACTGACTAGTAATGCTTTCCTACCTAAAATAATTTTTAAAAGAATGAAGAGGAGGAGGAGGAGGAAGAGGAGGGAATGGTGATACACAGAATTAGTAAAACGCTTCTTCAGGATTCCTAGGTTCTCTTTTAGAGGCATCAACCCCACATCCAATAGAAAGAGTAAGAAAAAGCAACAGGGTGGCTGCTAGTAAACTCTTTTGCCCGTTCTCTGCCCCATTAAGAATCTCCTTAAAAATGTCTGTACCCTTTGGTCCAATAATCCAATTATATCTAAAGAACCCCCAGAAAGGTTTTGTGTACCAAGATGTTCATAAAGCACTATTTGTAACAGCAAAAAAGTGGAAACAAACTAAAAGTGGAATGATAAATCAGGGGTTAAATAAATGTATGGTACAGTCACTTGAAGTGGTAAGTAGTCATAAAAACAATGTTTTAAAAATACATTATCATGAGTAAATGTTTTAGTTATAATGCTAAGTGAAAAGAGTCCGTATATACACACATATGTCTATGTGAAGAATGAAGATATGACAAAATGCTGCCATCTGTCATCTTTGGGTGATATTATAGGCAATATTTTCTTTTCTCTATATTTATCAACTTTCCAATGTTTAAAAATTTAAATACAAATGAACAAGCTTCTAAACTGTGCATGTGATCATATTAAACATCAGTCGCTTTTTTCTGCATTTGCTTTGTCGGTTGGTTATATTTTCTATACACAGTGCCAATTAAAAGCTTTAAAAAAAAAACAAAAAAGAAGGAAAAAAGACGAATACACCTGCTTTACCCATCTCTAGCTTCCACACACAGAAAAGGAAAAAAAGATGTGGTCTCCCTTCACTGGGGCCACTCTTCTAACTCTTTCTCATACCCCTAGTGTAGTAATTCCCCTTATGGGCACTTTTCTGGGGTGATTTGCACAACAGTTCTTGAAATCGGCAGGAAACCCTTTAGCTTATTTCACTTCCTGCCTGACCCCTGAATTGGGACAAGTTTCCTTTCACGTAAATCAGAAGTGATCAGAAAAGACCGATTGAATGTATGTGGCCCTAGAAGTTGTCTCATGAAGGACTTGGCTCTCCGCTACTTGAGAGAGGAGACAGGGGGAGTTGACTTAGAGTCAAACCAAAGCAGCTCAGACGCAGTGATGAAAATACAAATGGGCAGGTTGGACACTTTGGTGGCTATTTATTCCTGAGAGTGTGTAGAAGATAGCTGTGGCGCCTTTGCAATGCTATTTCGGTCCATCTAGAAAGGAGGGCGAGTCTGTACTCTGACCTCAGTCACTTCTGAGTTTTAAAATCCAAAACCCATGTCTAGAACCACCCCAGGCCCCCCAACCTCTGCTCCCCGGTCAGCTTACAAGCAGGAGAGCTGGATTTGCTGGAGGAGTCGCTTGTAAAACTCTGCCTGGAGTACTCATAGTCACTGAGGGAAGCCATGCTTTCGGAGAACCTGGAAGAGTCTGAATCGCTTGGCTGGTCCTCGCCCACACACTGCTTCTCGCCATTGAAGGGCATTTTGTGTCCCTTCAGTGCGGGTAAGGCGATAGGACCTGCACAGACAAACAGACCCTGCGTCAACGTTCTGTGGTACTTCGGCGGTGCCGATCCTTCTTCCAGTGTAGACAGTCGTGTGGCATGTATCACAGCACGGGAAAGGCCCCCGCAGATTACCTGACGCTTCCCATAACACCCTGGCCAGGCTATGACGAGGCCTTCAAGGCTGCCTTCCAAAAGCGGGATTCCACAGCCATAGGTGTGAGAGTACTCAGGACACAATCAGTGAGAATATGGACTCTCAGTAATAACGAACGGATCCTTGAAAACCAATGCGCAGGATACACTCTCCTCCTCCTGGGCTGCGAAAACTCGGGAAGGGAAGAGTAAGGAAGGGCGTGGGGCTCTGCGGTCAGACCGTCTAGGTTAGAATCTCATTCAGTCTTTTGTCTTGTGACCTTGAGGAAGTCACTGAACTACCTACCTCACGAGTGAAACTGGACTGAAAGACTATAATCGCATAGGGTTGCTTGAAGATGAAACAGGATTAGGCTTATTAAAGTGCTTAGCACAGCGCTCAAATGCTAGCTATTATTATTGCTCCTATGTCTTTGTTTTAATGAAAATGTTTTTGAAATCAGCCTCCTTGGTTGTCTGTGAGCCTCTTGGGGAAAGGAGAAGGCTAACTAAAATCTCTGGCTGCCAAGTCTTTAGGTTCTTCTCCTCCAGTTTCCCGTGAGCTGCCATGATGTGAAGAGGAGGGACTGATATTTGGTTTGTACTGGACAATGTACAAAGTACTTACTATCGCCCAGTGAACAACCAGGCACAAGAGATTCTGATTCACAGGTGGGCGCAGTGAGGGGGAGACAGACTCCCAGAGAAGAGGGGATTGAGTACTCCATAAAACCAGTCCCTGGACGCTAAGACACTCACTGTCGTTTCCGGGACATCAGATTGCCTCCCAGTTCAGGGCAGTTGGGCCCAGTTACCCTCTAGAAAGGATATCCTGTGTACACGAGATGCCCAGGCCTGAGCTCAGGAGCTGCAGCCAGGCCCGTGAGAAAGCTGGCCTTGATATGAGTGTGGTGATAGCTGACACTGAGGGGAAACCTGGGCGAGAGGAGAAAAGGCATCTCAAATCCTGAATGGACAGTGATGATAGTAAGGGTTCACTGAGTCTCTTTAAACCTGAACCAGCCCATACAATGAGGGACACAGAGCTTTTAAAGCTGCCAGAATGCGAAACCACAACTAGGCACAGTATGCCTGAAAATACCTGCAGTTTCTCCCATGATTCCTTTCATATTTATTGAGTGCCTACTGTGTACCAAGAACTGGGAAAACAGTGAACAAAGCAGACAGGGCCCTACCCCCATGGCTCTCAATCTCAGTACATAAAACTGTGTGTGTGCCAGATGCTAGAAGTCAAGAAAAGGGAAAACAAGGCATTGCTGAAGAAGCATGAGAACGGAGCGACAGGCACGGCCGGGACTAAGCCTTTGTTGAGAGAAAGAGTGCCACTTTTTATCCCTGGGGTGGTAGAGACAAGGATGGGCCTCAGAGGGACTTATTAAGGCCAAAAGCCCAAATTTGCACCTGGCCTCACCTAAACAACCTTCTTCAGTCCTGCCACTCACAGAAATGTGCCCTTGGTTGGCCCACCAATTTTGCAAACAGAAAACCACTAACTTGGAGGCTGCCTCTGCAGACTGAAGGGCAAGGAGTTGAGTGTAGCTGTCAGGAAGCTACCAGGTAGAGATATTCACTTCAAGTTCCAAGGCCACAACCACCACAAACACAGGCTATTAAACAAGCCCTGAACTCCTGCATCCTCAGTGGTGAAATAACCTCCTTTACCCCATGCAGACTAGATTCTAGTGGAGCTTTAACTCCCATCTGCTGGAGTGGGGAGTGAGGGGTGGGGGGCTAGAGGACTAAAGAAAAGGGTCTGCTCTAATCCTTTCACTTCCATCAAACCCCAAATCCTAAACAGAATGCTTGCCCTGCCCTCTAGCTTTCTCTTTGCCAACATTTTACTTCTTACTGATGGCATTTCTTGAAAATGCCACCTTCTCCAGAAAGTCTTCCCTCCACCCTCTGGGCAGAGCTAAGGGCACTCTTATTTGTCCATCGGCAGCACAACTCCTGTGCTTAGTCCCTTGTACAGTGATTTTCCTCCGTGGCTACTTCCAACTCTCCTTAATAAGGCAGGGACTGTGTCTCGTCCACTGCCAGTGTCAAGTTTGTAACAAGTATTCATTCTCTGTCAGCTGAATCGGAATCATTGAATCCCACTTGGTAGAGCTTCAACCAGAACATTTGCAAACTGATATCACTTCGCATTTACAGGCCTGGTACTTCCAAAGGTCACGCGGAGCAGAGAACCTACCATTTAAACCTACTTTACTAGGTTTAGGACTCAATAGTCCCTGGTCTTTATCGCACTCGTATTTGAATATTTTAAACTTTGTTTCCACTCCATTATCTTTTTCAGTCATTCCATTTTAACAGCTGTGCTATGTATGCTCTTAATCTCTTTTCACTTTGGCTGTTTTTCCAAGTAAAAGTGAATAAAAGCTTCCATCCATTGGAATTTATGAACTAGGTTAATTCATACATGAATTCTCTGGATTTATTTAACCATAAATTCATTCATTAGAATTTATGAACTGTCCATTTCATTTTTCTACTCCAGCTGAACAGCATACTTCGTAGGTTTTTAAATTGTTTAACAAGGCAGCAAAGTGCAAAGATTTATAAAATAAAAGACCTAGATTTCTAGTTAGAAGTCCAGAGTCTGAGGCCTGGGTCTGTCATCAATTTGCTTTGTATACATCACATCTGCTTTCTTTCCTCCATTTTCCTGAGCGAGTTGGGCCAGTTATGAGATCCCTTTCGGCTAGGAATTGCTAAAATGCTAGAAACCCAGAGTTTCATGAGGCATCACGAGAAGTTCTGAGAAATCAAATGTGCTCATGGCAGGCACGGTTAATAACATGCAAGTGTGCTTTCTTCTAACGATTCACTGAAGGTAGAGTTTCTGGCCCAGGGGCTATAACAGAAAATTTAAAAGCTTCAAAATGTTTAGCAAACCTTGTTTGGTTGGCAGAAGCCTCCACGGCACACTGGGCTTTAGTGCATCCACGCAGAAACTTTTCTTTGAAGACAAAATGCCCATTATTATTTTATTAGGAAATTGCCTGTTTCCTCATACAGGCACTAGTAATACCTACATAACTCGGAGGGATTATTTAGTCATTTAGTCAATGTATGTACAGTACTTGGAACAGTGTCTGACACAGAGTAAACAGGATACAGATGTTTGCTATTGTAAGTATTATTTGCCTCTGTTGTTATCATTATTTCAGCCATTAAAAACTCTCAAGGGAAGAACAGTTTTATCCTATGATGATAAAAGCGTATTTCCCTACAGATAAACAAGGCTGGGAGTTAACCTAAGACAGAACTCTTGCACTTGTTTGAAATACAAAAGCCAAAAGCAAATGGCCCATCTTGGTGTAAATGGCCCATCTTCTGCAAGTTCCTTCACATCTGTTCTTACTTTTCTTGGTCTCGGGTTTCCATGTAAGTCATCTGGGGACATAGCTTCTTGACTCAAAAGACAATGAGGGTAATTAAGACTGCTTTTAAAACTATTTGGATTCTTTCTTAGAACACTAAATGAAACCAGGCTGATTCTTTATGAATGATAATGCTTCTCATACCGACAGACTTGGATCTACTTAACCTTCATGACTGAAACTCACAAGCAAACCACACCACTTTTTACGTACACAACATCTCATCCTACCGTGAGGATTTCCTCACGGGGCAAAGGAAAAGTCAAAGGTGAAGACAGAAGATAACTCCAAGCAAAGCCTCCAACACTACAGTGGGTCACCATTCAAAGAGAATAATTTTTATTGCAGCGCTCCATATTTAATCATAATAAATGTAACATTATATCGTTACTTCCAAGCGCAATGACTAGGATTCAGCACTTAAATGTTTATTATTGAATAAATTAATGGATGAATGAATGGCAGTATGAGCACTGACATTTTAGAGAGGAGGAAATGGGTACAAGAACCTGAAGGACCTACTCCTGTGTCCCACCACAGGTGGAGGAGACAGGTTTTTTAATTTGCTAGTTGATTCCTCGGTCTGTGATCAGACTTCCGACTTTATTTCCTTTCTACAGCAAACTCTTATCTGCAAATGGTCCTGCACTGGTTCAGGATTGCAAAGATCCACCAGTGACAATGCACATGTCACTGAAGCAGTAAGAACACTGGCTGTGGAACCAGGTGGACTGGATTCTTGATCCTGATTCTTGATATTTACTGACTGGAGACAGGGAACTTACCATTTTAAAATGTAGATAATAATAGTATCTACCTTATTGAATTGTTGTGAAGATTGATTGAAATAGTCTATGTCAAGTACTTAAACTCTTAGTAAGTGCTTGACAGATTGTCAACTATTGTTTTATTCTTACGGAAAGGAGTTACGAATTCCAAAAATGTCAATGTCATAAAAACAATGAGGCTAGGATATGTTCCAGATGAAAAGAGACTTGACAACTGAGTGCAATAGATGATCCTAGGCTGGGTCCTGTTCTGGAGGGGAAAAAAAATGCTATAACAGACATTATTAGGTCAATTGAGAACATTGTTGTAATACTGGAAACCTACTTCTGCATTACAGTATTACATTTACTGAAGTTGATAAATGTACTATGATTATGCATTTAGGAGTAAAGGGCATTATGTATGGCAACTTTCTCTCAAGTGATTCATACAAGAGAGAAAGAAAACAATAAAGCATATGGAACAAAATGTTAACAGGTGAGTATGAGTAAATAGGGAATTCTTTGTACTGCTCTTGCAACTTTTTCTGTAAGTTTGAAATTATTTCTGAGCAAATGGTTAAAAGAGAAGAAAAGAAGTATGGAACTGAAACTTCAAGTCTAATTCGGAACAGTCCAGTCTGCAGTTTTTAGATTTTGATTGTTCCCACCACTCTGATAGCTTAGATATCACTCTATTACAAAAGTTCTTCTAGACAGTCAAACTTGTCCCAATGTCCTTCTTGAATAGTGCCTAGGGAATAAGACAAGAAATAGACCCGAGCCCTTCTGAAAAGAACAAATAAATCATCCCTTTTAAGAGTTCTTCTCCAGGTGGTTTCCCGTTCCTTAAGAAGTCTCCTAGTGGTGGGTGGTGGTTTTTAGTCCCCCTGTGTCTGGCGTCTGCCTACCTCATCCTGTACCACTCTCCCTCTAACCCTTCCTGCTCCAGACACAACGGCCTCTGGGTTCCTCAGACATGCCAAACGTCCTACTTTGGAGCACTTGTACCTGTTATTCTCTCCTCCTGGAATGTTCTTCTCCCTGATCACAATTGGCTCCTTCTTGCCATTCAGATTGGAAATGAAATGTTACAACATCAAAGTCGCCTGCCCTGATATTCCTGATACTCCATCTGAATTAGCCATCTAGAGCTCAGAACCCTTCCTTGGGCTAGAGCTCAGTGAGCATCATTGATGAACAAATTAGGCCACACTCCTTGGGTTTTCCTTCTCTTCTACCTCACTCACATTTACTCATACTCTCATTATGCAGTCATCTGAAGCAATATAGTTGTTTCTGCATATTTGTCTCCCCACTAAATTTTAAGCTGCTTGCAGGATGGGGCTCTGTCTCTGCTCTCTAATTCCCAGGGCCTACCTCAACACATTTCCAAGGCACCAATAATTCAAACCAGCAAAGACTCACAGTTCCAGAGCTTAAAGAAACCTTTACATGTGTCTTTCCACCCTCTTCATGCCCACTGATGGCAAATTATAACAATTAGAGCCGCCATGATAAGTGCTTTAAATGTTGTATCTCTTTGACTCTTCATTATAACCTTGCTAGCTAAGGAATCATTATTATCCCCATTTTTACAGAGACGTTAACTACTTGCCCAAGGATTCCCAGCAGCAGTGGGGGAGCAACTCAAACCCAAGTAGTGAGTGGATCCCTAAAGCCCACGCTTTGACAACTCTAGAATGGCTGGAGAAAATCTGGTCTGCTGCTCATTCTTTCCACTCCCACTCTGACAAACTGACCTACCCATCACCATGTGAACATCTATCTGCACATGTGGAAGCAAGGTGACCTGCCCCGGGGTGGCTGCTCAAGTGCTATACCGCGAAGGGCATCACTGAAAGACTCTATTGTCCAAAATAAGTGTCAACCACTCCAGTAGGGTGACTGAAAACCCTCCATCAGGGAGCCATTCTTTAAGCACTGCAAAACCCCTAGGTAAAACACAAATATCAAAAGGGCTAACGGCTTACAATTAGGGTACGTCAAAAAGATTTTGAGGTAAATAGTTCAGATTATCCAGCAGTGCCTTGAGGAATGGAGCCCATCCAGTTAAGGTTACATCATGGAAAAGAGAAATGTCAAAAAAACAAAAACAAAAACACCTAGTGGGTACCATCTTTGAAGACCGAATCGAGGTCAGGTGTCAGGACAAGCATTCGCACATGTGTAGTAAACGGGCATGGAGTCAAGAGTAAGACTGGGCTCTGAAGGGAGACATCGCAGATGGTGGGGGAAATCTACCTCTTTTGCAAAATGCTGCTTTGGAACCAGGTCCAAACAGCAGCGCTAAAAAGTTATTCATCTGCAGCAAAGCGAACACCGCAGAGCAGGGAGACAGGTGCCTGCTCCATTCAGTTAGAGAACACTGCTCTTCATCAAATTGGAGCCAACAAAGAGCTAAACAAAAGCCAACAAGCCTGTCATTGTCTTAAAAAGCAGATGCGCACACTGCACATAACATGACAACATCAGGGAGAAGGGTTTCTAGGCACTTTTCACACTTGGAAAACGCTCCTCCTCCCACCCGCTGGCTGGTCTCTTTGAGCACCTATGCCGTCCCCTCTGGAGGGCTCAGCCCCTCACAAAATGGTACTGAAGCTGCGTGCCACACGTGACTAGATATCTTCAGCTCTGGGTCCCTTCATGACAGGCCACCTCCCGGGGCTGCCAGGTGATGTACGAAATCCCTGGAGGCAAGAGGAAAAGGCAGGCAGGGAGCTTCCCCAAGTGGGAACCACGGCCATCGCCTCACTATGATTGGCAGGTGGCAAAGAGCGAGGTCGGGGACTGGGCTGGAGAGCTGAGACCACGGGGACCTTGGGGACGGATGGGCCCACTGGGGACAAGGACAACTTGTCTAGTTTCTGCAAAGTCACAGTAACAGGACAACCGTCTCACACGGCAGATCCCAAACTTCCCTCATTCGAGCACCACTCCTCACGCCGGTCGCCCACACACCGTTCTCGTTATCTTCACCAGATCTTTGCATTTCAATGCACTTATTCTTAAAGGGAACTTTGTGTCCTGGTGAAATCGCGCGTTTAATGGATCGCTTTTTCCTCGCGCTAACGAAAGCACAGGACCGCATCTGCCCACGTGCCACCTCAAATCACCGCCGTGCGCCCCGCGGTGCCACCCAAAGGAGCAGCTCCGGGAACGTCCCCGAGAGGCCGGGGGTTGGACCCCGGGCCTGCCCGGCCCCGCCCGCCTCTTCGCCCTCACTGACGACTTGGCACCGACCGCCGCCCCCTCCCCGCCGCCCGGCCCACGTCCCCCCACAGCCTCTCCCCCTCCAGCAGCACGTTTCCTGTCAAAACAAACCCATGGGGGAGGGGACCGCGGAGGTCGAGCCGAGTGCCGGGGAAACCCCGGCAACCAACCTCAAACAGACGCTTCGGGCCCCGCCCGGCCGTCACCGCCGCTCGGTTCGCCCGCCCCACTCGGGCCGGGGGTCGCGGGCGAGAGGGGACCCCCTCCCGGAGCCCGGATGGTGGGAAGCCGCTAGCGAAGCGGCCGCTGGCACAGGCCCAGCGCGATGGAAACAGCGGCCCAGCGGCCGCGACCCCGCCGCCTCCGGGGCCCGAAGCCCGCGGCCACCCCGACACCCACCGTGGCTCCTCGGCGCCCGCGCCCAGCTCCCACGCAGGACGGCGGTGCGAGGTCCAACAAGGGGGTTGGGGAAGCGAAGCAGCTTTATCGCCCCTGGCCCCGGCGCCCCAGGGGGGGTTCTGAGGTGGGGCAGGGGAAGCCCTCCGGCTGCCAGCAGGCGACGTGCCCCCCCCCGTCCGCCGACCCGGGACCATCGCCTCAGCGAGCGACCCCCTCCCGCGGGACGGATACGCACCGGGCCGGCGCGGAGCCAAGCGGAGGAGAGAGGCGACTGAGTGAGCCCAGGTCCTGGGTCTCTGGGTGTCCCCTCACCCAGCACGGCACAAGCACCTCCAAAACTCACCAGTCCAACCTCCCCCAGCTGCCCCGTAACCCCACGCGGTATTTAAAGGGCCGGGAGGGACTCTGAGGAGGCTGCCACGGCGAGATCATCACGTAACAGGCGAGTGGGGGGAGCACGGCACGGGGCCGAGGGGAATCCAGGGCGCTTCGGGCTCCGCTAGCGGAGCTCTGACGGATATGACTTGCTACAGACCCTTTTTCTTCATGTTCGGATGAAAACGGCCGCGGAGAGCTTGGATTGAAATGGTTTGGGATGCGAGAGGGAAAGGCCCCCCCCTCAGGTTGGGAGTGGTGCTGTCCTGGGACTGCTAGGGGCGGGGAGACAAGTGTTTACGGAACTGGGGCATCCGTGCCGCCCGGAACCTTGGCGTTGGAGGCGGGGCCTGTCGGTGCTGGGGGGCGGGGCGAAGCCGCTCGCGGATACGCTAGGGAAGCACTAGGCAGACCCCGCCCAGGCATTGCTGCAAGCTCCCGGGCGGCGCGGGTGGGACACTTACTACCTGACATCTCTCATGTAGACGGGGAGATCCAAATTGGGTGCTCAGCATGTCACCGTCCACACATACAGAGACAGCCCAACCCACACGGTGGCAAGTGCGTTCCCACGTACCTCAGCAACCAAAAGTGTCACCGACGTTTGTGGCGGCACCTCCACATAAACACAGGTCCAGATTTGCATATGGCTAGACCAGACGATAAACTCCTGCGAGTCACACCCAACCAGGCTCTCGGAACACGTACACTATGTGTGCATGCAAAAGATAAGAGCATCTTACTTCCTCTAGGGTTCTTGGCAGCACCTAACTGTGTCCGGGAGAAGTTTCAACTTTGGTTTAATGTAAATAAGCAGGCCAGGATGGGCTCTGTGAGGTCGGCCCTAGGCTCAGCTCTTGTTGTGGGCGTGCTTTAGGGTGTACAGAAACACCCCTACCCCGACCTCACACAGGAAAGACACTACGTTATGCCACGTGTAAATTGGTGTTCTTTAGGAGATAGTTTTATGCAGGAATGTAAGTGAATTTTGTATAGGCTGAAGTATTTCTATTTAGTGCTGAAATCATGTCTGGATTGTGGAGGCAAAATTGGTTTTAGACAGGCAACATTTTAAAGGAATATAGAAAGCCAATTATCTCAGATGGAATAATACAGTGTTACCATATGGACTCTTGTATTCAAACCCTGGATCTGACATTTACTACCCATGAGGTCTTGCTCAATGGGGATAACATTGATAACTATCTCATTGGGTTATTGTGAGGATGAGATGAGATAAAACACATGAAGTGCTTACAGCATACACAGTAAGCACTCAATTAGTGTTAGTTATTGAAACTATTTGGCAAACCACTCTGACCAAACTTAGCTGGTGGTCTGTGTAAATTTGTATTTGTATTTCCTTATGCCACTCTCTCCTCCCTTCTCCAAATATATACAACTTGATACAAATCAAGAGATTAAAGAAAAAATGCTGTTGCTACCCAGGTATTTCCATGCCTTTGTTTATATAGTTTGTTGGAATCAGCAGTGAGGATGACAGACGCCTCCAATTTCAATTCTTGCCAAATAACCACCACTACACAACAACTGCCATCAACACCCTAAAATCTCCACAATAGAAAGATTAAACAAAAATATCCCTTGGGCTTCTCGACACTGTGACAATGACACATTGCAACTTTGCTTCCTTTGTTAACTTTGCAGGAGCTTATTAAGTATTGTTTGGCTCTATTGCATAACTTGGACCAGGTGAGCATGAGTCAAGAAAATTGTCCAGTCTACCTGAGTGACCAGCTGCTTAACCCTGAGCATGGCATTTATTTTAAAGCTCAAATATGTAACCCTCAAAGCCACAAGGAAGCAATTTTTGTCAAAGCAGGTGAGTCAAGTTTCAACATGCGCTTGGTTGAGAACCTTGAGGTGAAAGAGGTGGGGTAACATCAGAGACCCAAACCAGGGAGAGAAAATATCCTAGAAACACAATCTTCTGTTACTTAGACATTAAATAACTTGCTATCTGGAAACCTTTTGATCAGTTACCTGACCAACTGCCCTCAGCCTGGCTTGGATATAAAAGCACTTTGAAAAAATACAGTGCTGTAAAATATTAGGCAGTTCCATTAAAAAATGAGCCTTGTATCACATTCTTGCTCACAGAGCTCAGGCAGTCATAGAATAAAATCCTCCTTGCTCAGATTATGTTCACGACCTTCTGGAAAAAATGTCTGAAAAGGCAATCTCTTTCGTAAGTAAAATAATTCGCTTTTTATTTGAAGAAGACATTATCACACCTAATTTTTCTAACATATTTTTTATTGAACTGCTTACAGAACTCAAGGTAAATGCAGTTTTTTCCCCCTTATAAATTTACACAACAGACTAACTTTGATCTATTGCTTTTGGCAAATAACTAAAGGCAAATAAAAAATTTTGCTCATTACAGAACTAGAAATAGAATACAAACTTTCTTTTTACACATCTGAGTTTTAAATCGTAATGAATCTTTGAAAACAAATTTTAAAATCCCAAACTGATTTTAATATGGATTTGCAACTCCTCAACCATTATCTGGTATAGTGGAGCTGTACCTGATGCTGATCTAGCATAATGCAGATTCAACTATATTACTTAGATGGGACAGGGTGTGGAGAGCGAAGAGAATAATGTAATCACTGGCAGTGATTTTGCCCCCTATTCTCTCGTGGAAGTTGTGAGGCTTCTCTTCCTAAATTGATCTCAGTGTCCAAGCTTCTCATTATGTTCTAAGCTTCTTACCCAGGACTGGCTTCATGGACCTGCGACCTGTGCAGTTGCACAAAACCGCACACTTGGAAGAGCCCCGCCCTTGGTTGAATGCTGGCTGCTGCCACTTTGAAATTCTTAATAATTTTTTTAACAAGGAGCCCTGTGTTTTTATTTTGCACCGGATTTCACAAAGTACGTAGCCGGTCCTGATCTCACCACAAAGATTATGAGTCTACTGTGTAAAGGTACCTAATTTCCCTTTATCTGTTCCCCTATGCAAAGCAATTTTATCTAGAGCTCAGTTGAAGAAACAAATATCTGTTTCAATGCTGTAGCCAAAACAAAACAAAAAACAAAGTATATCCCAAGTCTGTGTCCCACAGAAGGCATTTTCAAGGATAATTTTGATTGTACATACTTTTGACCTTATGTTCTTCCATTAGAACCTAACCCCTCACATAAGATAGGACTACACTGTAAGTAGAAAAAATGATTAAATGGAACCCCATCTCTTTCTCTGTCCCCCGTCCGTCTTAAGGTGCTAGGAAGGGTTAAAGTTCATAAGGTGGGGAAAAGGCAATAGAAAATAGAAGGAAAAAATAATAATTTGGCTAATACACAAACTAGATAATCAGTCACTGAATGTTCAAAATTTAACCACACTTTCTTGACAGATTTTGTCTTTTTTTTTTCTTTTGGTCTTGAATATAAGGCAGATTTAGATCATTGAACAGTTTTGACAGTTAATCAAAACGTTGATGTTTGATCAAGTTTCCAAAGCACACAAAAAACAGATTTTTCCCTGACTTCACTGACTGAACTGAATTAGTATAAAACTGGAAGTTATTCTCATTCCAATTGCTTGTAACCTCACACCTAGAACACAGCCCCAGTCCCTGACCCCTCACATACTAAAAGAAAAAGCATTCTTAGTGCCTCCCTTCACCCGCTATGCCCCTCCCCCGCCCCCCAACACACTTACTTGGAAACCACTGTTGTCCCCTGGAATGAAAAAAAAGAGTGAGGCTCAGCCGTGAAGACAACTCTGGGCAGGAAGTGGGAGGGGCCAAGGAGAAGCGACGCTCAAAGGAGCACCTAGGAGAAGCCAAAGAGCTGAAGGCTCAGAGCTCTGACGGAGACAAGCTCTTGTCCCCACTTCTGGGCCATCAGGCAGACCTTTTCTAAATGCCTCCATCAACCATGGTTATACATTTAGACCTTCACTTTTAAAATCAACTGTAATAATCAGTGGCAGGTAGGGGAGGCAGAGAAGAGCTTCTAAAATAAGAGGCAAAACTTAGATGACCTAAAGGAAAAACAAAAGATTAAGAAATGTGAATCTTCAGATAGCGTGTTCAACATAAAAACATGCGTTATAGAACAGCGATTATGTGATGATACGATTTATACTTGAGAGAGAATTTGCACTTCAGAGCACATACACGCGTATGTATTCTGCATATATGGAATGCATAGAAATGGACTAAAAAGTTACCCTCCCAACTGTTTGGGAGACAAGTTGCTTTATTCTTTATACATACAAGTGGTTTATTTCTTTTACAGTGAGAAGGTATTCATTCAGATGTCACTAATGTAATTTCACACTGTGATACAGTGATGCACCACTCTTCTCATTCATTGTATGCCCTCCTTAGTGGTGGGGGGCTACTAACACTGCACAATAAATAACGTTCCCATCTCTATTTTATTCATATTGTTTAAAAGTCGTGATAACAAATGGAGCTTTTCATATAAGTTATAGCAAGGGATAGATTTGCAAAAGGCCCTTATTATTTTTAAAAGATCATTAAAAACTTTTATGGTATGTCAAAATTATTTATGCTGGATGGGGGAATACCAATCGTTACTTTTAAGTAATTCCCTGCAAGCCCAATTCTTGGATAGTCAAAGTGCATGGTGTTTACTTTCATTTTGAAAACATGTGTTGCCCCAACCTGTGACTTCTAAGGGTTTCCTTGATGAGAAACCGAACAGGCATTCTTTTCCTGAGTGGTATGAGGCTTAAATAATTATAACACTTTTTGAGGGTGAAAAATTGGGAGCCCCGGACACTCAAATGCCTGTACAAAAGCTTTGAGATGAATTCCTGAGGGTTCTAGTGGAAGGCATTGAAGGGAACCAAAGTTTTGCCACCCTGAAGCTGCCTTTTTGGGATACTGATTTTAAGCTGTTTGTTAAGAAACAAAAGACTCAGAAAGAACCTTTGACCCTCCCCCTTTCCTGCCCAAGACAAAAACCTGCTTCAGGAAGGGAATCTTACAACTGCTGCCTTAGTGTAACATGAATTAAGTATTGTAAATAAGAGGACTTCAGGCAGAGAGGGGCCTGTTAGTTAGATGCCCCCTATGTACCACAGATTCCGGGTTGCCTGGCAAGAATTTGCCCATAGAGTGTGTCCCAGTCCCTCTCAACTATCTGCAAATAGCCCATTCTCACTTCTGAAATCTAATACTCCATCCCTTCACCTTTCCTTCTTTGTCCAAAGTGTCATATACACCCAATGTTCTC